CTTCCAGGGACTTGGGGATCATGACGTGAACCGAAGGCAGACACTTAACTGACTGAGCCACCCAGGTGCCCTTAAATCTCAACATTTTAACTCTCTTCCCCACACTTTGTTTTTGATGTTACAGTTAGCATCTTTTTATCTTGTGTATCTGTTAATTATTGAATCATAGTTTTACTACTTTTGTCTTTTAACCTTCATACTAGCTTTATAAGTAATTCACTACCTTTACTATACTATATATTTACCTTTCCAGTGATACTATTTCACATTTGTTGTTGTTACTAAATAGGGCCTTTCTTTTCTACTTAAAGAAGTCCCTTTGATCTACAGTGTTTTGTGCTGAACAATGTGTTAGGTAGTCTTATGGGGATTCCCTTATATGTAACCATTTTTTTCTCTTGTTGCTTATAATATTCTCTTCCTGTCTTTCACTTTTGACATTTTAATTGTAATGTGTCTTGGTGTAGGTCCCTTTGGGTTCGTATGTTTTGGAACTCCCTGGGCTTCCTGGATCTGGTGTCTGATTCCGTCCCTGTGTCCAGGAAATGTCAGCTATATTTCTTCAAATAAGATTTCTGCTGCTTTCTTCCTCTTCTGAAAGCTCTACAATTCAAATATTAGTCCATTTGATATCCTTTGACTTCCTGAAGCTATTTTCACTTTTTATTTCCGTTATTTTTCTTTTTGCTGCTTTGATTGGGTAAGTTCCACTGCCTTTCCTTTAGGTTGACTGATCCTTACTTTCTGTTTCATATCTAGTCTGCTGTTGAACCCCCTTTATTGTATTTTTCAGTTCCATTATTATAATCTTCAGCTCTATGAGTTCTTTTTTTTTCTTTAAAGATTTTATTTATTTATTTGACAGAGAGAGAGGGAACACAAGCTGGGGGAGTGGTAGAGGGAGAGAGCCCAATGTGGAACTCGATTTCAGGACCCTGGGATTGTGACCTGAGCCGAAGGCAGATACCTAATGACTGAACCACCCAGGCGCCTGGCAGCTGTGTGATTTCTGTTCGGTATTTTGTTAAATTTCATCCCTACTCAAGTTCTCACTCTGTTCATCCAGTCTCCTCCCCAGTTTGGTGAGCATTTTATGACCATTACTTTGAACTCTTTATAAATTTACTTACCTTCCTTTCATTAAGGCTTTTTTATGAAGTTTTATCTTATTCTTTCATTTGGAACATATTCCTCTGTTTCTTCATTTTGCTTGACCCCTGAATAGGTTTCTGTACAGTAGAGGAAACCATCTTTTCTAGTCTTGAAGGAATGACCTTATGGAGGAGTTGAACCTTTTTATTCAGCTCTTCCCCAGCTCTTGGTCATCTCTCAAAACTTTGAGTTTATCCAAGCAGTTATATTTTTAATAGCTCCCTGTAGTTAAGGATGTGCCAAGAGCCGTCAGTGACCCATAATGGAGGATCTCTGCACCTAGATTCAGATTGACTGGAAGCCAGACCTTCAGGCAGCTGCATTGAAAACTATGCAGATATATTACAATCCTGAGGGCCCAGGAACATAAGCCTCACTGACTACCAGAGCCTGGTAATCCTGAGGTATGTACCCTAATTGGCATTCATAAAAACTGGGGTTCCAAATGAGTATATGAGCCCTCTTCTGGGAGATAGCAACAAGCTGGAGAAAGACTGAGAGCACCAACATGGCGTTTATAGTCTTTGTTCCTTGAGGAAGTGCCATAGGCCACTGAATGTGTGGCAAACCTAAGTCTTGCCCGTTGTCCGAAGCTCCAGAACAGAGCGGCCTTTTGACAGGAAAAACCGGGTCTTAGCCTGCCAACAGTGGTCCCTCTGATTACCGCAGTCCCTTGGGACCCTGGAATTAAAGCCCCTCCAGCCACCACAGCCAGGTGATTAAGGGGTGCCCCGTGAGCATCAGGCACAAAAATCAGGCACCAGACTCAAAGCTCCCTTCCAAGAAACACTACTCTGGAGCATGGCAGAGGGTGAGTATGAAGATAGCACCTGCCCTCCAAGGTCCCTGGAAAGATTTCAGTCAGCCTCTAGATGATTGTTTTAATTAGAAGCCTACCCCTCAGGTCACAGTTCTGATGACTGGCTAATAGGCCTACTTCACAGAAAAACCAGGCCCTGGGTCAGTTGCCTTTTTCTGTGCCTGGGAGGGGTGGTAGCTGGTAGTTCTTTAGGCACTCTTTGTGCACTGGTTACAGTCCTTTGGGACCCAGGAACATAAGCTCCAATGACCACCAGTGTCAGGTGATGTAGAAGTGTCCCTTGGCAGCATTCACAAAAATTGGGGCCCCAGGGAGGGATCTGAATTCCTTTCTAGGTGATTATTACATTCCCATGTGACCAGACGCACAAGTTTCTTTGCTCTCCAGAGCCAGGTGTTCAAGAGATGTCCCCCTGGGCAGCACCCACAAAAATCAGGGCACCAGACGTGTAAAGGCTCCCTTCTGGGAGCTACTCATCCTCTGGAGCACAACAAAGGGAGAATGTAAAGATGGTATTCCCAGTCTGTTCTGAAGAGCATTCCAGCAGGCTCCTAGATGTGTTAGGTGAATTGGATGCCTGCCCCTCGGGGTTAGGTTTTAAGCGGGTTAACGTTCTTCACTTTAAGCTGCTTCTGAGCTGGGCCCTGGAGTGGGTCAGTTCCAGCACACAAACCCTTTAAGTGGTATTTATCCGATCACTATAGGCTTGTGGGGCCCACTCTGAGACATTTTAAGGACTCATCTCTGAAATTCCTGTTTTAGAAGTTGGGGTGACCAGTGTGGGATTTGAACCTTTTACCCCTCAGGAAGAAGCTCCAGGTATTTGAGTTCCTTCGCAGTTGTCGGTCGCAGCACCAGGTGTGGGGTTCCTGGTGAGATTGTGTCGCAGCCTCTCCTACCCATTTTGGTGTGTATTTTCTCTTGTATGCCTAATGTATAGTCATCACTCAGTCACCTTTAGGTTTTTAAGAGGTAATTGGTTCCATATGTGGCTTAGATGCAGTATGTTCCTGAGAGGAGGTGAGTTTGGGGTCTTACTACATCACCATCTTGAATCAGACTAAGTTCTCTGTTTCTTATTGATCTTCTGTCTGGCTTTTCTCCATTATTGAAAATAAGTTACTGCGGGGGCGCCTGGGTAGCTCAGTTCATTAAGCGTCCAAGTCTTGGTTTCAGGCCAGGTCATGATCTCAGGGTTGTGGGATTGATCCCTGCATCAGGCTCCACGCTTAGCAGGGAGTCCGCTTGAAGATTCTTTCCCTTTGCCCCTCCCCCCATTCGTGCTCACTCTCATGCTTTCTCTTTCTCTCTGAAATAAATACATAAATCTTTCAACAAAAGAAACTAAGATATTGAAATTTCAGATTATTATGCAGAATCATGTATTTCTCTTCAATTCTGTCAATTTTTGCTTATGTAATTTTGGGACTCTTAGGTTTATATGTAATAGTAATCCTAAATATCTTTCTGCTGAATTGAACCTTTTATCAGTGTAGTACTTCTGGGTCTCTTACAATCTTTTTTTAGCTTAAATCTATTTTGTCTGATCATAAAATAGCTACCAGCCCTCTTTTGGTTATTATTTGCATGAAATGTGTTTTTTATCCTTACACTTTCAGATCCTTTGTGGTTTTACTTCTAAAGTGAGTCTCTTGCAGACAGATATAGGTCGATCTTTTTTTTCTCTCTTTTCTTTTTCCATTCTGCTTATCTCTGCCTTTTGATTGGGGGCTTTAATCTATTTTCATTTGAAGTAATTACCAGTAAAGTTTATTTCTGCCATACAGCTATTTGTTTTCTCTGTCTTATATATGTTGTTATTTAATATCCTTCATTACAGCTTCTCTCTTTTGTATTTACTTTTTTGTAGTGAGCCTTTTTGATTCCCTTTTCTGTGTATTTTTAGTTATTTTCTTAGAGATTCCAAATAATATTTGTAACAAACTAGATTGAACAGTAGCAGCTTAGTTTCAGTAGTACACAAACACTGTCCTACACATCTCTATCCCTCTCCCTTTAGTATTGATATTGTGATAGAAGTTATATCTTTTTACATTATTTCCATTCACGTAGATGGAATTATTCATGCATTTTTCTTTAAAGTCTTTATGTAAAAATAGTTAAAATTGAAAGTACAGTAATGCTGGCTTTTACATTTACTTACATGATTACCTCTAGTATTTGCTAGTGTTCTTTCTTTCTTCTTATGGTTTAAGTTACAGTCTAGTGTCCTTTTATTTCAGCTCGAAGGACTCACTTTAATAGTTCTTCTAAAACAGGTCTATTAAAAATGAACTCCATTAACCTAGTGCTATATTTCCCCCTTACAGTAGCCTCTCAAAACATTTACGTAGACTGTAGGCAAAGAAGTATGCATTTGTTATCATTAAATGATTTCGCCCCTATTGACAGCAGTTAAGAAGTAAGTCCCCTGGCTGCCTGAGAATCATCCTGGGTACTATTACAAACAGGTCTTTCCCAAGATTTGTTGATTTAGGTTCCCCAGGGATTCTGATGTTCATCCTGATTTGGGATTCACTTTTACTTAGAAATTCAGGTGTTCTCTTCAGATACTTTATATGTTAAATGAGTATACAATAATAAGTGGAAAAGCAAAAATAGTTTGAGATGTGACCGCTTAGCTGAATGACTGGTTGCCGTGCGCATGCAGTTCGGAGCCATGTCACAGCAGAATTCCACACAAAGCCTAGACCTGCACAATTTGCAAATAGTCAGAGTGGAAAGACTTTGCTGCCTGCTGGTTTCCTCGTCGTTGCTGGGCAGTGACACATGTGAGATCATCCAAATGTCTGCTGAATCCCTACAGAATGAATCTTTACATGCCTCCTGAAACTGCCAGATTTTCTTATATTAAGCTACGTTTTGTTTTTAATATTTTATGGTTTAGTTTATATTTTACTCTTACTTTGTTATATCCAAACAACAGACCTTCCCAATAAGATGTTTAATCCATTAAGCAAAGCACCTACATTTAGTCTCTTAATAGGCAAATATATTCATCATTTAGGTGCCTATGGTTCATGCTTGAAGTTTTAATGACAAAGAATGAAAACAATAGCCACGCCTTCATGAAGAAGATGGCAGAGAACATCAAGTTAACAAAAGATGCCCAGTCTCCAGATGAATCCAAGACAAATGAAGTAAGATATGTGTTAGGCCAGTATGTATTAAGATAATTACAGGAAAAAGTATTACGGTCCTTGTCCCACTTGTTTTTCCTATTAACATAATAAATCAGATTACAGAATGTTCATAAAAATACGTATTTATGGTCAGTTTTTATTGTTTTTTATTATAATTGAATTCCATTATTTGAGGACTGTTTATTACCCTGAAAAGGACATTAAAACTTCTACAGAGCAGGGGGATGAGAACTAATAAAATTTACTATTCTGTAGCTGTCTTAAAATCTTTAGTAAGTTACAGACAAGTAGATAACTCCTTTCTGTATGTTTCCCTTGGGTTTAGTTGAATTGGTTTGTTTTTAATGCATACTCGACACTCATGTTAATTAGGTAAAGGGTGTTTTTGTTTGTTTTTTATTTTTTGTTTTTACCAGGAGACTACATAAGAAGAAATGCAAACACAAATGTGAACTGTTAGAGGAATAAATAATACCCGCATATCCCTCTTTTGATTTCATTTTATACATCAGGTAGAATTGGTACTTGTGGTTATTTTGTGCTACTGAAAGTTATATGTGATCTTTCTTTCCTCCTTAGAAACTTTATACAGTATGTGATGTGGCTCTCTGTGTTATAAATAGTAAAAGTGCTTTGTGCAATGCAGAATCACCAAAGGATCCAGTCCTTCCAATGAAATTTTTTACACAACCTGAAAAGGTAATTCTTTTTCTCTTCATTGTTCTACCACACTAAACTGATTTAAATTTCAGTTACCATCAACCCTAATGGGAAATAGTGGATTGTCTTGACTACAAAGTAAGAAATACCTCTTCATATTTATATCAAGGAATGGGAGGTTGTCTTCCAAAGCCCTGAACAAACACCATTCTCATCTTGCAGAGTACGAGAATGCAAATCAAGCTGTATGGTGGTGCTCTTCCGTGAGCTCTTCCTTCCGGATATTTCTAGTATGGAAAAGGAGTTTTCAGATTTCTTAAATTATCTTCATTTCATTTTATTAAAACACTGTATTTTATTAGGCAAGAAATAAAATGGTATAAATATTATAAATATTATAAATACATATATAATAGAGATATTATATATACACACACACACACGAAATAAAATGTTAGAATTAACAGAACTGGTCTCAGCAGATGATAAACCAGTATTCTAATCAACAGCTTCTTACTTAAGGGACTTTAGACAGGTTAACTCTTCTAAGCCTCAATTTCTGTTTCTCTAAAATTCAGGTGATAATACCTATGAACAATTATTAATACCATGTCTGTAATTTTATGTTTATAAGAGTTTGTCACATAGTAAGCATTCAGTACATGGTAGTGATAAGACATCATTAGTTCTGCTATCAGCAAATTAAGTCTTCCGTGTAAGTAAATTTTCCAGCTAACTAAAGCTCTTTGTTTTCCAACTAAACTTTTTTTTAAAAAGTTTTCTATTTATTTCCTGCTTTAAGGAAGTATTTGGAAGTTCAACCTTCCTGTGCTTTGTTTAAAAAACAGAATCCTAATTTTTTTTTTTTTTTCTTTTAAATTAGTAGGCTTCATACCCAACATGGGGCTTGAACTTAGGACCCTGAGGTCAGGAGTCACATGCTCTTACCAACTGAGCCAACCAGACAACCCGAGTCCTGAATATTTTTAATTGGAAAAAATACATCATTTAAAAATTTTTTATACATTTTTCAAACCTTAAGATATGCTTCAGGGTAATACCCTCCCTTAGAGTATTTTACAGAACATGCCCAGGAAATGGAGCTTCTTACTTTTAATGTCATACTTTGACAAAAATTTTAAACAGATTTTCTTTAATTTAGTATTCAGCACTTAGTTTGCCTGGTTTTTGATAGGAATAATAAAGATTGCAAAGTTATTTGCTCTCTAATTTAATAGACACTGTTCTTTGTAAGTAGTCCTACCTGAGCTCTTGAATTTAAATTTACTTCTATTATTGACCTAGGGTTATTGTGACGAGAATAGTACCCAAATAGAACCTTCATATAAGGGGTGCCTGGGTGGCTCAGGTCCTCAGGGTCCTGGGATCAAGTCCTACATCAGGCTCCCTGTTCAGCAGGGAGTCTGTTTCTCCCTCTCCCTCTACCTGCTACTCTGCCTGCTTGTGCTCTCTGTGTCAAATAGATAAATTTTTAAAAAATATAATGGTGATCCCATCATTAAGAATTAAATTGCTGGGGTGCCTGGGTGTCTCGGTTGGGCATTTGCCTTTGGCTCGGGTCATGATCCCAGGGTCCTAGGATCGAACCCCACTTCAGGAGCTCTCCCCAGCAGGGAGTCTGCTTCTCCCTCTCACTCTCCCTCTATCTTCTCCTTCTCTCTCTCAAATAAATAAATAAATAAATCTTTTAAAAGAGGGGGGGAATTAAATGGGGCACCTGGCTGGCTCAGTCAGTAGAACATGTGATGCTCATTCTCGGGACTCGATCAGGGTCGTGAGCTCAAGCCCCATGTTGGATGTGAAGCCTACTTTTAAAAAAGAAAACAAAGAATTAAATTGCTATTTGTAAGTACACCAAAGTTTAGTTGGTTTTGTTTTGATATCTGAAACTTAGTGTTTTTAGCCTTCTTAAGAACTGGGTTGTTTGCTTTTTATTTTTTGTTTTTTGTTTTTAATTAACATATAATGTATTATTTACCCCAGGGGTACAGGTCTGTGAATCATCAGTCTTACACAATTCATAGCACTCACCATGGAACATACCCTCCCCAGTGTCCATCACCCAGCCACCCATTGCTCCCCACCCAAACCCCTAGCAGCCCTCAGTTTGTTTCCTGAGATAAGAGGCTCTTACCATTTGTCTCCTTCCCTAACCCCATCTTGTTTCATTTTTTCCCTCCCTACCCCCCACGACCTCCAACCCTGCCTCTCAAATTCGTCATATCAGGGAGATCATATGATAATTGTCTTTCTCTGATTGACTTACTTCACTTAGCATAATGCCCTCTAGTTCTATCCATGTAGTTGGAAATGGTAGGATTTCAGGGGTTTTGATGGCTGCATAGTATTCCATTGTATATATACACAACATCTTCTTTATCCTGTTGATGATTTGGCTATTGTGGACATTGCTGCTATAAACATTCGGGTGCCCGTGCCCCTTCGGATCACTACATTTGTACCTGTAGGGTAAATACCGAGCAGTGCAATTGCTGGGTCATAGGGTAGCTCTGTTTTCAACTTTTTGAGGAACCTCCATACTGAAGAACTAGGTGTTTGGTCCCCCCCCCCAATAAGCAGCTTTCCTCATTTCCTTTTCTGATATGTTGCTTTTAATCTGGTATAAATTTAAACACTAGGAAACTAAGCATATTGAGATAATGAGCCTAGTGAGGCTACAGTATGTCTTGATGGATAAAGTGAATGAACGTTGGTACCCAGGCTTTGTAACATTGATTTAAGCTGCACAAAAGCCTTTGTGGGGAGAAAAAAAAGATAGAGCTGTGCCTGGCACACATGCTAAAACTGTTATGTCTTTATAGGCACACATAAACCATCTGTTCTTCCCTAGGACACCAGTTTGAAAGTAAACTTAATAAAACAAAAATAATTTTTTAAGTGAGAGTACTTAAAAAATTAATAAACTTCTTGGTCATAGTGAATCACTTGACTTATATGACGTCATTGTGGTTCCCATGGGTGCTGTTACCCAGATATTTTACAGAAGCATCAAAGTACTCTTAGGTTTCATGTAGGTCAAACTTTCAAGACATGAGTGTCCACATCAGGTTTAATTCATTGATGAACTGTTAAACATCACTGCCACCAGAGAACACTACAGCTCACTTGATTATATCTTGGAGGTGTATTTACCTACATGATGTGGATAGTCTTATGGTTGTAAGAAACACAGTACTTTCAATGAAAATGACCATTTTTTTTCAATGAGAATAATTTTCTTGAAATCCAGTGTGGAGTGATTTTAGTGAATATTAAGTGCTTAATATATGCACTGTACCATTTTGAATGCTTTGGGAATGAAGTAGGTTTTACAGTAGAGTAGAGAAAGTAGTTCAGTGAATAACCTGGAGACTATTTGCCCTGAACTATATGAAAAAGTAGGAATGTGTTTTATTTAAAATGTGATTTAAGTAATTGAACTCTGATATTTGCCAAGTCTTATGTGCCATTGAGTTAAAGCTGGAGTTGATGACATGGTTCCTTAAATATGCTTTATTTGAGGAATTAGTATGTATCCTGGCCCAAATGTAATTGTTATTGTGATGCACAGTGCCTGAAAAGTCTTGTTTGGACAGTGAAAATACACTTGTTCACTTGATTATTTTTTTTTTTTTTTGGTAGGATTTCTGTAATGACAAGAGTTACATTTCAGAAGAGACCAGAGTACTTCTGTTAACAGGAAAGGTATTATGTACTAGATAATTTGGAAATCTTTGTCTCATGTATATATTATTTCTGCTGTTCTTAGAAATAACTTTTAAATGTCCCATGGAATTTAGTTCCTGATTCTTAAGGATCGTATTGTGGATTGTAGCATCTTGTTCTCAGGCTTTTTTCTGCCCTAAGTGACTCTTGAATTATGATCATGTATTCTCATCAGTAGTAGTAGGCTTCAAATTACTCAGAATCCACAAAGCAGATTTTCTTGAAAAATGGTATAATAAATTTAGATATGTAAGATTTAAAAAAAGAAATAATTTTAAAGTATTAATGAGTTAGATAATTTATATTCTATAAAAGTACTATGACATCTAAAAGCAATAGAAATTTAATTTTTGATAAAAATAAGTGTCTAAACTGTTACTATATACTTGTAATTGTTTATTTGTACGACATTATATCTTATGTATTTTGCTGTGTGTTTCAGGGGTGCTTTTTATTTTGATTGAACAGTAGGAAATAATTAAATACTGCCTATTTAAGTAGAAGTAATACTTCTGACTTGTATTCAGACGAACCCAATTTTACAAAATTTATCATTTCTAATAAATTTAGAATTAAACTTTCCAAAGTAACAGTTTCTTGGCTTAGGCTAAACAGTATCTTTTACATGTGTCGAAATTTATGTGAATCCCTACAGTAAGGTATAAAATAACATGCATATGTGTAATTTTTAGCCAAAACCTGCTGGAGTACTAGGTGCAGTAAACAAGCCTTTATCAGCAACGGGAAGGAAACCGTATGTTAGAAGCACCGGAGCTGAGACTGGAAGCAACATTAATGTAAATTCAGAGCTAAACCCTTCAACCGGAAACCGATCAAGGCAATGTTTTTCCTCCACTTGTCTTTGTTACAATCACTCTCTACTTGTTTCATATTTTATTTTTACCTAAAGCACTAGATCACAAAAACAGACTTAAGGAAACATTTTGGCATAAAATAATAGTGCTGACTTTTAGTATAATTAATGATGGAAATTCAGAGTACACAATTAAATTTTGAACCCATGTAACATTCCAAGTGTGTAAAAAAGTAAATGGAACAGAAATGGAAAATAATTTCCTTTTTTTTTTTTTTTTTTTTTTTTTAAGATTTTCTTTATTTGAAAGAGAGAGAGTTTGAGAATGAGAGAGAGATCACAGGGAAGGGTAAGGGGAGAAGCAGACTCTGCACTGAGCAGGGAGCCCGATAGGGGGCTCGATCCCAGAACCCCAGGATCATGACCTGAGCTGAAGGCAGATACTTAACCAACTGAGCCACCCAAGAGCCCCAAATTTAAGAATATCTAATATATGTTACAACGAGTTTACATAGAAATGCCTATATAAAAAAATCGAACACTTGGGAAAACTATGATCATAAAACTCTTAAATTGAATTTATATGCATTTTAATTTTAACTCAAAATTAGTATAGCATGAGTTAAGATAAATTGTTACAACATTTCTACTTATAAGAATATTCCATGTTTATTTTAACATATCAGGTCTTTACCATGTTAGCTGCATAAAACTGCATAAAAATTTCTACCTGACCCTATTCTTATCAACACTAAAAATGGAAGCTTTTATAGATTTTTATTCTTACTCAGGAAATTTTAACTGTAAACTCAGTTGGCTTTGTTTTAAACACATTCTTAGCAGTAGAACCCCAAAATATAAAATAAAATAACATGGAACGTCTGTGGTTTACAGAAATGGTGGGTCTCAAAACTCCTCCCCTACGACCTCTTCTTCCAGCCCTCTTCCTTGCAGAGCATAACAACACAGACTGGAGGGGCGCCTGGCGGGCTCAGTGGAACACGCAGCTCTTGATCTCAGGGTTTGGAGTTCGAGCCCCACTTTGGGCCTAGAGGTTACTTAAAAATAAAATCTTAAAAAAAAATTAAAAACATACACACTAGAGACAACACAACTATGCACTGTTCATAATACACCGATCACTGTATTTTTACTCTGTTTAAGGGTTTCCTCTCCGCAAGAGAAATTCTTAGAACAGTTGTATGATTTTGTTTCTAAACAGCTATCTGTCTGTTGGTTTTAGGCAGTCATTAGTGTCCTACATTAGTAAGGTTAAAGAGAATCAGTAACACGATAGAATACAGCAGTGGTCTATAACCACAGAAGATCAGAATCTTGCTGACGTTGCGTCATTTGGCTGGGCTTCTAAATAGCCTGCGCTTGTTTCCTCATTGCCTAGTGAAAGGGTAGCCACTCTGTCCGCGTGAAATAAAGAAGCTTTGGTTTATTTTTCTTCAACAGGGAACAGAGTTCAGAGGCAGTAGAAACTGGAGTTAGTGAAAATGAAGAGAACCCTGTGAGAATTATTTCTGTCACACCTGTGAAGAATATTGACCCGGTAAAGAATAAGGTAAAATAAAATTTAACAAATGGATTTCTCGCAGAGATGATCGGTTTCATGGTAGACGTTAACGCAGCCCCCACTCGACCAGTGACTGTGGGCTCCGCATTCTCCGTTGGCGCACTTCGCCTCTTGCCGTGCTTTCACTGCGCCTCCTGTGTCCTTCTGCCGCACCGCTGCGCGCAGAACTGGAAAGACTAGGAATTCAGAGTTTTGAAGAACTTTCAAAGTTTATTGACTCCTATAAGGGATGTGTATACTGTTTTTATTTCTGTTATATTTTTTGAAAGTTAAATTTACGAGTAACCTTTTAAAATGTACTTGAGTTTTCGTTTAATGGCTACATTCTTTATTGAGGACCTTATAACTGTGGCACCCGATTTTCTTAACAGTATTGTGGCAGGAGAAAAACAACGGTAAGAATCAGACCTGAGTCTCCGTCCCGGCTCTGCTACTCATTGGCTGTGTGTTTATTTAGACAGATTGCTTGACTTCTCTGCGCTTCTGTTTAACTGTAGAATGAAACCGGTCACTTACCTCGGTAGCAATGGCATGGGAATACTATCACCTCTTTTCCTACAGAATCATATTCTCAGCATATTTATCTTTTTATTGCCCAGCATATATTTACAATACTCATCAAATGTTCTAGGAGTTGCCTTGGGGGACATAAACTACAAGATGGTACAGTTATTCCACAAGAGCTGAACTCTGCATATTCATTATGTGAATTCAAACTGAACTGATGAGGATACTTTTTTAGTCAGTCTTTCACTATTCAGCCTCTTGCTTTGTGTTATCTGAAGTTCGGTATGTCCATAGATTCAGATAACAGGGAGCCTCTCACTGCCAAAACTCTTGGAATTCAGAAACCAGTAGACTTGAATATTGTGGGATTCTTGTATAGAGTTAAACAGTCTTGATGTAAACAAACTTAGATGCAATAATGCATATTGCCACAGACATTCATTTAAACATACTTAACTTGTAGAAAGGGGCGGTACGAGGGATAAAAATGTTTATCTGGCACAAAGAACTATAATTTTTCTAGCCTGTGATCTAAAATGCTATGTAAGATATAAATTGATGTTATATGTCAGTTATACTTTAATAAAAGATAAATGGGATTTTTAAATTCTAATTTTTGAGAAGCCAAAATGTTAATTTATGATCAATCTATATTATTCCAAACCCTTATTTTAACTTTTTCATGCTTCCAAAGAATTTTTTAAGAATTTTTTTAATTTTTTGTTTTTTGTTTTTTTTTATAGATTCCATTAATTTATTTGAGAAAGAGAAAGTGAGCACAAACAGGGTGAGGGGCTCAGGGAGCCTGATGTGGGGCTCGATCCCAGGACTCTGGGATCATGACCTGAGCTGAAGGCAGACACTTAAACGACTGAACCACCCAGGCGCGAATGTTTTTGTTTTTAAAGATTTCATTCATTTATTTGACAGAGGGAGACACAGCGAGAGAGGGAATACAAGCAGGGGGAGTGTGAGAGGGAGAAGCAGGCTCGGTCCCAGAATCCCAGGATCATGACCTGAGCCAAAGGCAGCCGCTTAACAAATGAGCCACCCAGGCACCCTTCCAAAGAATGTTTTAACAAATTTCGATACAGCTCTGAACACACAGGAGTTGTATTTTGACAAAACTTAATCATCTCTCAGTCAGGTCTCCCATAAGTTAATGTTGTCATTTCTTTCCAAAGTCTGAATCCTCAGTCTTCTAGGCTCAAAAAACTGTCCCGTTGGTATACTAAAGGAAGAGAAAGATCTAAGAGAGTGTTTCTTGCTGACCAATTTTTCAAAGAGATTAATGCATAAACCAAATTACTATGTGTATAAAAACAAGCCAGCAAACTAGATACGGGTGTTCACAAATCAGGACATTCTTGAGGCGCCTGGGTAGCTCAGTCAGTTAAGCATCCAATTCTTGATTTTGGCTCAGATCAAGATCTCGGAGTTGGGATGTCAAGCCCCACACTGGACTCTGTGCTGGATGTGGAACCTGCTTAAGAGCTCTCTCCCTTTGCTACTGCCCCGCTCCATCTCTAAAGGGAAAAAAAGTCAGGACGTACTCCTGTTATTTACTGTGTGAGGGAGATTGGATTGTAATATGAAGGATGAGTGAAGGAAGTGGTTAAAAAAAGCAAGACGGAGCCCATGGATTCAGGCAAGAGGTGCCGCCTTTGTTGTCCGGAAGGAGTCTTCTCTTTCCTCGTACCCGTGGCTAACCAATGGGTTTCCTCTTTCATTTGCCTTTTAATGAGTTCTTCAAACATATGCACATGTACATAATATGCATAAATGTGTAAATACAGTCATGTGCATGATTTTTAATGCAATCTTTGTTCCTTTTAAAAAGTAACGTATTACTTTTTTTCTTGTCTTACCATTTTTACCTGTGCATACACATAAACTTAACATAACTTCCTTAAGGAGTTCAATAGAAGCCTTGGAATTCCCAGTCCTTGAGAATACTTTCAAAATAATTCATTCCAGTACAGATCTTGATATTTAAGGAATTTATGTTTATAGAATTATTTTGTGCTCTTTTAGGAGATCATTTCTGATCAGACCACCCAGGGCAACATCAGCAGTGACCGAGGAAAGAAAAGAAATGTAGCAGCAGCTGGCGCAGAGAACATCCAGCAAAAAACAGATGAGAAAGTAGATGAATCAGGACCACCTGCCCCTTCCAAACCCAGGAGAGGACGCCGACCCAAGTCTGAATCTCAGGGCAACGCAACCAAAAATGACGACATAAACAAACCTCTGGGCAAAGGAAGAAAGAGAGCGGCGGTCGGTCAGGACAGCCCCGGGGGTCTGGAAGCAGGTAATGCCAAAGCACCGAAACTGCAAGACGGAGCCAAAAAGGCAGCACCAGCAGAGAGACAGATTGACTTACAAAGGTAACGGGGGCCGTTCTGTCTGGACCACATTGAGACGTTTTGTTTTCTTTTTAGCATGTGCCAGTCACCCCCAAACTCCGAGGCATTTGGGTCTGCAAACAGCCCTTTGTTTCCTGAGTAGGTTATAACGGCGTTGCTTTCGATCTCATAACCTCCAGGATGCCAGTTTGAAGAGAGATCTTGTTTCTTTTGGTTAATTTTTAATTAGGATATCGTGTTTTGCATTTCTGCTTACTGGCAAGGACAGTACTAAATTTTGCTCAGTATCCTTCACATAGTTACATGGGCTTTCCTTCATTTAAAGGGCTGCCTTTGGGTAAAAAGGTCTCAGGGTGGGGCACCTGGGTGGCTTAGTTCTGTGTCTGCCTTCGTCTCAGGTCGTGATCCTGAGGTCTTGGGATCCAGCCCCAAGTCAGACTTGTGCTCAGCGGGGAGCCTGCTTCTTCCCTGCCCTCTGCTGCTTCCCTGCTTCTGCACTCTTGCTCTTTGCCAAACAGATAAATTCTTTTTTAAAAAGCGGGGGTCTTGGGGCGCCTGGATGGCTCAGTGGGTTAAAGCCTCTGCCTTCGGCTCAGGTCATGATCCCAGGGTCCTGGGATCGAGCCCCGCATTGAGCTCTGGGCTCACCGGGAAGCCTGTTCTCTCTCTCCCACTCTCCCTGCTTGTGTTGCCTCCCTTGCTGTGTTTCTCTCTGTCAGATAAATAAAAATTTTTTAGATCTTAAGAAAGTATAATAAATAATACCTTCTTCAAAGGACTGTCTTAAGAATTAAATGGATCAATAAATATAAAGCACTTAACCAAGTGCTCAGTCATTGTTGTAAACATGGTTTGGAATTCTAGTTTCTCTACCCTTTAATACACTTTCCAGTTACACAAAAGTTGAATAGTTTCTTCAAGATGGCCAGAACTTTCTGAAGGGTTTCTAAAATTCTATTCTAGCCGTTCCATTACTACTGATTACCACACACAGGCCACTTGGGCCACCTGACCTGACCTCTCATTCACTGTGCTTTTTTTGCTTCTAACCCAAATATCCAGGGTACTTACTTGCTCCCTGAAAGTGTTTTCAGTAACCACCAGACCTTGTCTCTGATTAGCACCTGGTAAAGCTCTCTACTTCTGCTGCACGATGTGCCCCAACATCACCAAACCAACAAAAACAGCTTCCATGCCAGAGACTGCTTAAAAATAGTACTGAGCCTTCTTGAAAATCTAAAAATGTCTTGAGTGAAAAACACCTTAGAGTTCTCGAGTATGCTGGCTAGTAAGTCACAGGGGGCAGTGTGTTAGCCAAAACAGGAGTTCTGTGATGGTTTCATATTCTCAGTGAAGCTAGGTGGTTAAATTAGATGTACTTGACAGCACTGTACTGGGTTAACTCAGTAGAATAGATCAGATATTTTGCGCACATATTTCAGAAACTTGTGATCGAACTGTCCACTACTAATTTAACAAAACTTAGAAGTACATTCTGAAACTTTCTCCTAGGCTTCCTTTTATCTTTTCCTAAACCTGATATACAAGTCTGCCCTTCCATTCTAGCTTTATCACTTAAGCCTGGAATCCTGGTGAACTGCTGAGTGCAAGTTCACATACTCCACCAACTACCGCGCATGATCCCCTCTCGTGTAGAGCTGAATGCCTCGTAGGCACATCCGTATTGCTCCTGGTACCGCCATCCGTTCTTTCAACGAATACTCAGCTGATTAGAGTGCCGGGCATTGTGCTGGGTGTTGGCGATACAAATGTATCCGAAGTGGAAAGGTTCTTGCCCTTATTTCCCTAGCATGTCAGCTCCAGAAGAGACCAGAAAACTTTCGCATTTGGTCTGTTGAATGATACAGTAAAAGTATAGGATTTTTTTTTTTTTTTTTTTTAAGATACATTTACTTGACAGCACAGGCAGGGGAAGCAGCAGAGGGAGAGGGAGGAGCAGGCTTCCCGCTGAGCAGGGAACCTGATGTGGGGTTTGATCCCAGGACCCTGGGATCATTACCCGAGCCGAAGTCAGACACTCAACCAGCAGAGCCACCCAGGCACTCTTAGGATTTTCTTTTTTTTTTTTTTAAAGATTTTATTTGTTTATTTGACAGAGAGAGATCACAAGTAGACAGAGAGGCAGGCAGAGAGAGGGAAGCAGGCTGAGAGCCCGATGCGGGACTCGATCCCAGGACCCTGAGATCATGACCTGAGCCGAAGGCAGCGGCTTAACCCACTGAGCCACCCAGGCGCCCACTCTTAGGATTTTCTTAATTACTACATAAAACAATGAAATTCCAGCACATCCTATAACATGGATGAACCCTAAGGACATTGTGCTAAGTGAAATGAGCCATACCCCAAAAGACAGATGTCGTTTGATTCACTTTATCTGAGCTACCTAGAGCCATCACATTCGTATACACAGAAAGTGGAGTGGTGGCCGCCAGGGTGATGAGGGAGTAGTAAGTTCTAGTGTTCAGTGGGTACACAGAGTTTCATTTGGGGAAGAGGAAAACATTCTAGAAATGAATGGCCTTAATTGTACAACATTGTAAATGTACTTAATGCCACTGAATTTTGTACTTAAAAGTGGTTAAAGTGGTAAATGTTAAGTCATAAATTTTATTACAACAAAAAAAATTGCTACATATGAAAAATGATCTCCAACACTTGTATTATGAGCCAGGGTCAATTCTAAGGTCTTTGTTAGTCTATTAAATCCTTAAAACACCTCTTTGTGGTAAGTTCTATCATTATTCCCAGGTCACAAAGAATAGGAAACCCAGGTGTAGGGACCCCACATAGCTTTTGGTCTCTGCTTATATAAATACTGGGACCAGGATTAAACCCTCCAGAGTTTGTAACTGCCATGTAAATTGTATTTTAAATAAAATTAAGTCTTGATTTTTAAGGCACTACACATGCACACAAAACTGGTATAACAGAGTGCTTTGAAAATACTTCTAGCGGCGCCTGGGTGGCTCAGTCTGTTAAGTATCTGCCTTCAGCTCAGGACATGATCCCTGGGTCCTGGGATCAAGACCTGCATGGGGCTCCCTGCTCGTTGGGAAGCCTGCTTCTCCCTCTCCCTCTTCCCTGGCTTGTGTTCCCTCTCTCTCGCTGTCTTTCTGTCAAATAAATAAAATCTGGGGGAAAAAAAAAAGAAAGGAAAATACTTCTATACTTTATTTTCTTGTGTGCCTTAAATAGCTAATGTAGTTCATAAGTGTAATAGTTTCCATAATGGAGTCCATTTGCATTGTTAATTTTTATAACTCTTATGTAAAAAGCTAGTTTAGTTAGTTATTTTTAAGTTTATTTAAGTTATGTCTGTACCCATCATGGGGCTCAAACTTAAGACCTTGCGATCAATAGTCGCATGCTCTTCCAGCTGAGCCAACCAGGAACCCCTAAAGCTATTTTATTTAAAATAACCACAGGTTAAGCCAAACAGACCAACTATCGTCATCTTTTTAACCTCTTTTGGAGTACATGCAAACAAAAGCCCCTGCTTGTTAGCATCAGGGAGGAATAAATCAAGCAGTAGATCAGAGTTTCTTGGAAGCAGCACACTTAAAGAAAAGGAAGCACCCCATGCTAAGAACATTGTCAGACTGATGAAAATTGGGTAGAATAATGTGCAGAATATATTTGGGGTGGGGCTCGGCATATTTATTAATAAAATAATAGTAATAATAGGGAAAGGTTGTTAAACATCTATTTGCCTTGCCAGCAGTCAGTATGAAGCAGATACAAGGCTAGGTTAGAGGTAAGGAGACCTGAACACACTGTCTGTGGGCACCTGGCTGGTGCCACGCAGAGCATGACTTGGGGCCCAGGAGCATCCCTTAGTAAGCACCCCAGTGTGCTGGTCCCCCCTGTAGTTTGCCATATTTTGAAACATTTTTTAAATAACTGAACATTCCTAACTCTGTTTTTCCTCTTAAGATACTGTGTAATGATGTCAAAGATAACGTATAGTTCCCACCAAAAGACGGAATAAGCACACCAAGTCAAAAGTTCCTTATTTGTGATTCAGCTGGTATTTTAACCATCTCAGCTTAAGGAGAAATGTTAAATGGTCAAAATCCTGAAGGTACTGGCTTCGTTTTTATTTCATGGTGGGACTGTAGCTTCCACCTTCCTACAAGGTTAAACCTACTTCTCATTGGGGCATCTGGCTGGCTCAGTAGAGCGTGCCACTCTTGATCCCGGGGTCGTGAGTTCGAGCCCCATGTAGGGCATAGACTTGACTTAAAAATTAATAAATAAAAGTAAACATACTTCTCATTTACTACAAGTATTACTTGTGATTGATTTGACATCCCACCTGTATTTGCCTGAGACTGGTGTGGATCCCATACAGATTAAAGCCCATAATTACAGTTCCCAGCATAGAGCTAATCCAGCGCCTCCAGCCCTGTGTCAGGTCGTCATTAACATTTCAGGCAGCTGATTACTAAGAAAAGATAGAGGGTTGCGGAGCTTGAGAGCCATCGAACACTACATCTGTGAGTGCCGGATGACCCCAGGGTGATCGCTTGCTTATTGCCCTGGAGACTCAAAGCCTCCCTGGTGGAGTGAGATCTGAACGCAGTTCGGCCCGGGCTTGAAGCGAGTCTTGGAGGCGAGACTGTGGTACGTCGGGCGCCGTGCCCTAGTGCCTCCCTGTGGCCCCGCGCTCTAACTTCAGGTGCCACGTCAGTCTCTTCCCTAACCTTGCATTATTCTTCATACCTTTCACTTGATTGATTTGTTACTTGCCAGCTGGTCCGTTCCCGCTCTGGTCACAGGTTTCCACAATAACGTCCAAAAAGACCCCCTCCCCTTGACATTACCCAGTCTGCTTTACTCCGCGTCTTCGCCGGCCCTCTGCGGGTGCGGGTCCTCTCGGCGGCCAGGCCACACCTCCTGCTAGCACCGCCCCTCGCAGTCTCGCTCCGTCTTCTGGCTTGATACGTGTAGTACAATTATGTGATTTTATTATTAGTGAAAACCATTTTGGGGACCCCAGGATATGCCAGCCACAGTCTAGATACTTCTGTACGCCACCCTGCTTAATCCTGCAGCACTCTTCGGTAGGACTCTTTTTTTTTTTTTTTTTTTTAATTTTTATTTATTTATTTGACAGAGAGAGATCACAAGTAGACAGAGAGGCAGGCAGAGAGAGAGAGAGGGAAGCAGGATCTCTGCTGAGCAGAGAGCCCGATGCGGGACTCGATCCCAGGACCCTGAGATCATGACCTGAGCCGAAGGCAGCGGCTTAACCCACTGAGCCACCCAGGCGCCCTTCGGTAGGACTCTTGATAAATGGTAGCCTCTAGAGCTGCTCTAATACCGCGCCAGCACTTGTAGTGTGTAGCGCGCGCTGACCCTCTAGAATTCCTCTTACTCGGTCCTCTTCCTGAGAATATTAGGTCAATAATAATTGCTTTTAGTATGATTCCTACTTGTATAATTTATTTATTAATTCAAGGGTGGATATTTTATCCAAAACATGGATAGTATATACAGAAATTTACTGGCCTAGATTTTGCTTCTTTAATCTGGGAGTTGATGCTGAGCATTTTTTTTTTTTAATATTTTATGTATTTATTTGACAGAGATCACAAGTAGGCAGAGAGGCAGACAGAGAGAGAGAGGGAAGCAGGCTGTTGGCTGAGCAGAGAGCCCGATGCGGGACTCGATCCCAGGACCCTGAGATCATGACCTGAGCCGAAGGCAACGGCTCAAGCCACTGAGCCACCCAGGCGCCCAGATGCTGAGCATTTTACTTGTAAACTTATCTATAGAATTTTTAGATACCTTTGGAATTTTGCAGCAAATATATTATTCCCTCAGCTGTTGCATGTGTGTGCGTGCGCATACACACTCATGTTCAGTAAATGTGCCTGTCTGTATTTTGGGCTATATTTGGGATTGTTACTTGAGAAAATTCCTGGAATTTATCCTATACATTTATAATAATTAGCCATTTGTTTATTTATGGTCAGGAAACAGTATCTGACAACTGGACAATTAATGTTGGTTTTCTGAGTTTTGGGTGAAGGGTAGATCAGCGTTTCAGTTACTAAGTTTACTTGTTTTTTCTTTGTTTTTGAGCTGTTATCCAGATGGCAAACAGTCCAAACATTTTGCATTGAAAATGTATTTTTTAGGTCTGTTGATTCTTCAGTATGTTTTGCTTACACTTAAGGCTAAATGTTTTTTTTTAAAGATTTTGTTTATTTATTTGACAGAGAGACAGCGAGAGAGGGGAACACAAGCGTAGGGGGTTGGGAGAGGGAGAAGGAGGCTTCCTGCTGAGCAGGGAGCCTGATGCGGGGCTCGATCCCAGGACCCTGGGATCATGACCTGAGCCAAACACAGATGCTTAATGACTGAGCCACCCAGGCACCCGAGGGCTAAATTCTTCCACAACGAAGAGACTATCAGGAGATACCAGTGGAGAAAGAGTCCTTAAATTCGGGACTTCTGAAGAAACTAAACATAAAGAAATTATCTGTAGGAAAGTAGACTGTAGTTTTCCCTTCTTTGGATGAGTATGTTTTGCTTAGCATGCTTAGTGTAGAAGTGTTCAAGAATCTGGGATTTTTTTTTTTTTTTTTAAGCAAAGAATTTCCTACTTCCTGTGCTCATTTGTGTATTGAGAAAGTTTCCTGTCATTACCTGGGTTCATATCTTAAAATCATAGTAACCCCTAAGTATGTATCCTCATGAGTCACAGAACCGCTTTGATATGAGTACTTTTTCAGTAACAGGTGAATTTTTATCAAAATAGTACGACATTTCTTAGGAGCCAGGTGCTTGGATATGATGACAGGTCACTTTGGGACAGAGTATCCAGTGCATGGAATTCTTCCAGTGATCTGGATCATTTAAGTCTGTGAGAGCACCCAGGAAGATACTGAGAACTCAGAGCTGGGAAAGGGAAGCTTCCTGAAGGTGCAGTAGGCAGCTTCTGGAAGATTTTTTGATAGAACATTAAATCTGTTTTATATATTATAACAAGTTAAGTCTTCTTAAGAATCTTAATCACTTAGGTTGTTTTCTAAGCGCTGTCATCTTAGTGACACGATTCCGTAAGATTCCATATGTAGTGGATGCATGTAAACAACTTCCTTACCTTTCTGCCAAGTCTGGAATTGTTGCAGAGGAGACCCAGTTTGAATACTGATATGGCTAAGGAAAGACGGAGAAATGACAGGCCAGGTGGTTAATAATGCCTTGCCTCTACATTGAACAACCACAGGCCGACCTGAATGCCCCTTTTGGAGGCAAAAGAAAACAAATCTAGGAGAGGACAAGCCCAGCATGCTTACTTTCTCCCACCCCTCGCCTCTCAACTATTAGATAGCTGGGTTCCTTCTCCTCCCAAAGAGGAGTTAGGTGAGAGAAGAGAGACCATATCCCCCATGCTCATGCTTCCAGAAATCAGACTGTCTCTCCTTACTGGGGAAATGGGACCAGTGGGGATTTGATGCCTCTAAATTTTCCTCCTTGTTTTTTTGTTTATTTGTTTTGGTTTGGTTTTGGTATACTGAAATGCATGTGTTTGGGGAGACCCTGGGTGGCTCAGTTGGTTGAGTGTCTGACTTCGGCTCAGGTCATGATCTCAGGGTTCTGGAATCCAGCCCCACATCAGGCTCCATGCTCCGTGGGGAGTCTGCTTCTCCCTCTGCATCTGCCCCTCCCTCTGCTCAGGCGCTCTCTCTCAAATACATAAATAAAATCTTTTAAAAAAATAAATAAGATGGATGTGTTTACCCAGTTCAGAAGTCAGAACTTCTTTGCTGCTTATAAATAGTGCCCAGTAGGGCGCCTGGGTGGCTCAGTTGGTTAGGCAACTGCCTTCGGCTCACGTCATGATCCTGGAGTCCTGGGTTCGAGTCCCAAATCGGGCTCCCAGCTCTACAGGGAGTCTGCTTCTCCCTCTGACCTTCTCCCCTCTCATGCTCTCTCTCACTATCTCTCTCTCAAATAAATAAATAAAATCTAAAAATTAAAAAAAAAAAAAAAAGTTTAAAAAAAGTGCCCGGTAACTTTTTTTCTGTAATACAATTTTGAAATAATACTAATGACAAATTATAGTTATTTCAAATAAATAGCTTTTATTGTTTTGTTATTGTAAGCAGATCTGCCATTGGGTAGCAGCACCTAATGGCTGAAAATAAGAACTTCATTGGTATTTTGTGTTTATATAGTTTAGAGAAGGATTCCTTAAAACAAGGTCTCAGATGAAAAATGGGAAAATAATTTTGAGATTTTTAGATAATAACTATAGAAATGAAGTAATTCTGGTTTGGTGTGTTTTCCTGTTTATGTCTTTTCTAACTTTGCTTTCTTCTACTCCCCTCCCCAAGGTAAAAAGAAAACTCATTTGCAGAGGGAGAAAATGAAAGCCAAGCAGAAGCAGGCTCCAGCTTCTGCAAAAACTTGGATTCAAAATGTCCCTAAACAGAAGATGAAGTTAACTTCAGAACACACTTTCTGCCTTGAAAACTGAAAGAAACTATTACTTCCTTTTCACATGACCACAAGTCCTTTGATGGAAATGTACAGCAGAAACTCTTGAGAGAGAGGCTAAAGCAACTCTATTCTTCCCTTCCCCTAGACTTTTCTTAGGAAAAGTCAATAATTAAGCAAATTGCTTAACACTTGGTTCCAGTTCCTGCATATCTGGAGTTTAAAGGCATAATACACCATTGATTTCCATGCTGCAGTTGTTATTTTAAAGAAAGTAACAGGATGTCCTTACACTGACACTGAAAATTCATCAGTTTTAGAGCCAGGAATTCCCATGTTACACAGAAAACAAACAAACAAAAAAATAGAAGTCTACTGAATTAATTTTTTAGAAGAAAAGAGATCAGATTAAATATTTCTTTGTTTTTCCTTTTGGAAACTTTTATGTATAATTCTTTCTGCCTGCCTACTTTTCTGCAAAAATGAGATGTACAGATTTCAGTTCCCTGCTATGAAAAGTGATGTGGTGGCAATTTTATAAATGTTGCTTTCTGATTTTTATCAGAGTGAGAAAATAATTAAAATTATTATTGATTTCATATCACTTCATATTTTGATTTCCCCTCCATTTTAGTCTAATATAATTTGCAATAAATGTACATATTGTTGTTTGTTTCATAAAGCATATCACTTTAAAATGGTTTTTACTCCTGTGATTATGTTGGAATATTTGGAATTTTAAAGGAGTAAAGACTGCCCAGCATTTGGTTTTATAATGTTTGTCACCAGATTTTTATTATTGATGTAAAGAAAAAGTCAATTTTTTTAAATAGTTGGACTTTGGCAGCTTTGTAGGGAAAGTTGGAGGTGTTTAGGATGGCTATCAAGCTTCAGCATTGTGCTGATGGGAAATAAGTATTTTGCTTTTGTCTGCCGGTCTGGGCTCAGTTTTTATGTTTATTTTAGAAGACAACTGTTGCATCAATATATTGTTTCTTGGCATTGTTCAGCATAGGTAATGTGTGCACTTTTTGTGTACACATACTCATATTTAAGTTTTTTGCATAAAATAAATGCTTCTAGATGTCCTATGGTAGTCTTTTTTAATCTCTTTACCATATTGTTTTCTTGTGAGTTTCTTTTTATGTAAAGGGCTAAAGTCATAAATAACATGATTACAGTCAACTCTCCATTATCTATATAAAACAGTGACTATGCCTCGGGTTTCAGGTTTTGCAGTCGTAATTGAAATCACAAACTTAATGAAACCAAGTATATTGCAAGAGCTAATCAGGAGGAACTTGAACTTTGTCCTCCTTCATGCTCAGAGTTGTAGCTGCCCCCCATTCTGTACTTGAGGCTCTTTCCCAAGCCCTCACTGAATGTGCTCACTCGGTTCCTTGCACATTCCTAGTGAGGGTCAGAAGACATAAATGACACTTGCATTAGAACTTGGTCTTAGGAGGCTGTAGTCTACAAGGGATGTAAAAGAGCGAACGTGAGCTATGTCAGAAAATAATTATGATGTTAAATGTGAAATTGGCTAGCAGTAAATGTCACTTATCTCATAGATAATCAAGAGTTGGCTGTATATTGACTCAGTGAAAGATGGGTAATTCTTTCAAATATGCATGTACACACATTGAGGTATCAGATGACGGTTAGGGAACAGTGGATACAAGTGACAAATACCTTTGAAAAGGGCAAGAAAAGCCCTCACTCTTCTTGTTGCCTCTTCATAACCCTTTAGAAGGAAAGTATAAAATATTGCCTCCAACACGCTGAAAAAGAATATCTATGCATAAGCATCAGAGAAGTCCCTCAAGCAAACAGTGAACATGTATATTTAGAAAGATTTTAAAGTGCTCTTAGCCTCAGACATCTTGATTCTTAAGGCCACTGATCTGTCACCAATAAGAAGCACACTGGTAGGGACCTTTTCAACTCCTTTTGATTACTCAGAGTCACAGCTGACTAGATTACCTAGTGTTAAGTCATATTTATAACATAATGTAGCAGAACCATTTGCATCTGTTTGTGGCTGCTTCGATTTTTTTTGCAGGAGAGGAGTTCAGCTAAAAGGATTTGGTCCACAGGTGTATGTAAATGGCCCCCCTGGTTCATTAATCCGAGGCAAGCGTCTGGCACTAAGGGAAGGGAGAGTAGGCAGATGAAAAGATTGAGATGATGCGGAGGGACTTAAGGGACATTTGTCAGTTTTCCTTTGAAAAAAGGAAAAAGTTAAATCCCTTAGGAATTTGATATTCACATCTCAGAGAAATACAACACAAAGTGCAGACTTACATTTGAGAATTAATGTTAACCCTTTGTGTCTAGTTTGAAGCTTCTTGTATTTGTCTAAAACTACAAGCCAGAATTTTGTATCTCCTTTGATAAAAAGTGTGTATAATGTAAAGTAGTTTTGCATATTCTTGTGCTGCACATGGGCTGAATTTTTAAAAATTTTTTTAAAGACTTGAAGCAGAACCTTGTAATTTGTGTAAATGATGAGTGTAAAATCCTACCATAAAATGCTAAAAATTTGCATTGTTTCAAATAAAACCAAGAAATGCAGCATTATATAGTAGTGTGGAACCCTGAATATTCATGTACCCCCTGGTATGTCACAAGCTGATAAAATATCTGCATATCCTCACAAATCAAATGTAATCATAAATTGAAAAAATCAAGCCTTCAAACTTACTGGCTACGTACTATGATCTGACCTACAGTGACAGGGAGAACATAACAGATGATAAATTCTGATAGACATTTGCAAAACTTTAGAAGTTGTTTTTTTACCCAAGAACTTAAAAGTGGCCTTTCATTTATACCAATACATCTCTTTATTGCACGTTTTGGACATGCACATTTTAAGTTTAAAAACTGATGGAGAGCAAGCAAATTGCATGTATCTGGAATAAGAAATGCACAGAATGAGAAATAAAGCTAGCTATCCTGCCTGGTTCTGTATTTTACCCTCAATGGGATTATCACTCTACACCTTGGTATTTGTATTGTCAAGACTTTACGGCCTCCACGATTCACATGGACAAACTGTTCATATAAACCACTGGAGAACAGCCAAGTTTCAAACAGTCTGACGACAAGCTTTGCAGCCTGCCTCAAGAGTAATGATGGCACTGCTCACAAGAAGTAAATGTTGGCCATAAGCCAGTAACAATGTAGAACAATGGAAACGAATGTGCATAACCGCATACCTCCTCAGCCTGTAAGTCAGAGCTCTAAGTTTTCACTTCCGTAAGAGTAATAAACCTTCTTAACTTAAGCTTGTGTCTTCTTTGAAAGGCCAAGTGGGACGCCTGGGTGGCTCAGGCAAACATCTGACTTCAGCTCAGGTCATGATTTTGAGGTTCTGGGATTGAGCCCCACATCGGGTTCCCTGCTCAGCAGGGCCCTGCTTCTCCCTCTCCTGCTCCCCCTGCTTGTGCACACTCGTTCTTTCCCTCTGTCTCTCTCAAATAAAAAAAGATGAAAGGCCAGCAGGAACATGTGGGTCCCGTTTCTAAGGAATCTGGGCCAGGATGGTGATCAGGATTTCAATTTTGGGGTATTTCTCAAATAACATCCATCGATACTGACTACCAACTAAAGGCACTTTCCTTGCCCCTCGTTCTCCAGTTACTCCTATTCTCCAGCAAAGACCATGCATTCTGAATAAAATCCATTCCTTTTAAGAAATAGCCCTGTATCAGATTCGGCAAGAAGCCTGGAAAGCAGTCCGTCGGGGGTCATTTACACATGGAAGGAGGAAGGTCCGAGTCTCCAGATGCCAGCAAAATCTGAAGGGTCATGGGTAGCGATTTTCCTCATTACAGGTGTTCGGTTATTTCATCTGTACAGACTAGACACAATGCCAGAGGCTTTCATCGAGCACAACTGGTGTGGGGCCTTCGGAGCACCAGCAGTGTAAAGCAAATGGCACACAGGCAGGTATGACTGTTTCAGGTGATACATTGTCTGGACTTCAGAGCCTTAACAGATGCTGTAGAAACAAAACGTACCTTTTCTTTATAGAGAGATGCAACTCTGAGAACCGTTAGAGGAGATGTAGGCTCTGAAAAAAGGATTGGGCTGAGCAAGCCTCTGCCTCACAAGGAGCTGGATCTGATGCAGGAGGCGGCTGGTCAGGTTGAGGACTGCCACAGCAGAGGTGACCGTCGGGAGGGGCAAACTGCCGCAGGGGAAGGACCAGGAAGAAGCCTGCTGGCTGGGCCACACGAACACCGGGCACTTGCCGCGCGTGAAGCGTTCCTCCCTCTGTAAACTGGAAGACCTGGTCCCAGCCCCCAAACCTTGCTCACCCGCTGTCCTGAGTGCACTCCCCTCCCAAGCACAAATTGGGGTGTGCTGACTATCCTGTGGCTTCCTTGGACAAACTCTGTGTAACCGTAGAGCCTTACTATGCTTCTCCAAAGAGTAAATTCTGGTGGGGACCCAGGCAGTGTCCCCTTGAAGCACCTCCCTTAGTTTTGTTCTCAGCGTTTTTAAAAGACTCACCCTGATGGCCATACACCCTCAGCCCAAAAAAAGTGCTGAGACCATTTTCCTCTAAAAGGTTTGGCAGTTTAGCCATCTGGTTTTACCTGGCTTACAATGGAGTGTACCCGTCAAGAAACGGGCCAGCTTTAGAACACGAGAGGAACCTGCCCCTTTGCGACCTACCTCAGGCTAAGAACTGAAAGGCAGAAGGCTGGTGCCCTTAAAGCCACCTAACCTGTAACCATTTTACGGAGGTTCTTTTAAATGTCCTGTGTGGAACAGGCCCAGCTTGGTCTGCCCGTGGAATCTCAGAGTTACGAACAGAAGGGCCTGCCTCTTTTTAGAAGCCAGAGCTCACTGGGATCAAAACTAGAAGCCCCCGGTACTCTTCTCTCTCTCCACGCACACACACACAACCAGAATCTTCTACTGATCACAAGCCACCTACCATGCCATGATAGTCAAGCAGGTCCTAGCCTCCAAAGCTCATTCAGAGGAAAGCTTTCACAAATATTTATAAACCAAATATTACATCATCTCCAGTCTCCTACTGATTCCACCTTTTTGTGACAATAGCAACATAAATAGCAGCAAAGTGTCTGCTGTCCAAAGACCTGATCTCCACTGAGGTGTTTCTATCTGACTGATAATTCTCGCATTGTGTTTTGAGGGTGAGAACTACCTAAATATTACAATTCCTATGAAAGAATGAAGGAATTGTGAATTTTCCATAATAATTAGAGACAAGAAGAAAGCCATTGTGCAAACATGGGCTTTGTTGCCATTTGGCTTTGGGGAGAATAAGGTTCTGAATGTGGGAAGGAAAAGATTAGAAAGATTTCTGCCTGAGTTCATGTCCATTTTAATATCCCTGCTTGTGATCAATATTTTTCAACGATAATAGCTGAACAAAGAGGGGCGCCTGGGTGGCTCAGTGGGTTGGGGCCTCTGCCTTCGGCTCAGGTCATTATCCCAGGGTCCTGGGAGCTTGCTTGCTCCCTCAGGCAGGGAGCCTGCTTCCCCCTCTCTCTCTCTGCCAACCTCTCTGCCTACTTGTGATCTCTCCCTGTCAAATAATAATAAAATCTTTAAAATGTTATTGGATAGTCTTGCGCTTAAAAAAAAAAAAAAAAAAAAGTTGAGCAAAGCAGCTCAGAAAGGGCTGCATTGCAATTGGAATCTCTGCCCCTAAGGAAGCTGAATCATCGAGAGTACAGACTGGTGAAATGCAAAGACGTTTGCTCTGTGAGTTCAGGCAGGAACTCTGGAAGGCACGGTGAGTACCTCACAGCAGCAATGAGACGACAATGAGGTGGTGGTGTTTATATACAGTGGAATACTAAGCAATAAAAAGGAAGGAAATACCAATCATGCTACAACATAGATAAATCCCAGCAACATTATGCTAAGTGGAAAAAAGCCAGGGCACCTGGGTGGCTCAGTCACTAAGCATCTGCCTTCGGCTCAGGTCATGATCTCAGGGTCCTGGGCTGGAGCCCCGCATCGGGCTCTCTGCTCAGCGGGGAGCCTGCTTCCTCCTCTCTCTCTGCCTGCCTCTCTGCCTACTTGTGATCTCTGTCTGTCAAATAAATAAATAAAATCTAAAAAACAAACAAAAATAAAATTAAATTAAAAATACCAAATTAGGAGGCACCTGGGTGGCTCAGTGGGTTAAGGCCTCTGCCTTCAGTTCAGGTCATGATCCCAGGGTCATAGGATTGAGCCCCGCCTCAGGCTCCCTGCTCAGCAGGGAGCCTGCTTCCCCCTCTCTCTCTCTGCCTGCCTCTCTGCCTACTTGTGATCTCTGTCAAATAAATAAATAAAAATCTTTAAAAAAAATACCAAATTATATTTTATGGTAAGTTATACCTCAATGAAGTTTAAGATAAATGAGACATGGGGCACCTGGCTGGCTCAGTCAGTACAGCATGTGACTCTTGATCTCCTGGTCTTAAGTCCAAGCCCCACGTTGGGAGTAGACATTACTTAAAAGGAAAAAAAAAATAGACAAATGGGATATCTTTGAAAAGTCTTTACACAAAACAATGCAGCTTAAGCACCAGACTGTCAAAACCCACATCATGTCAAAAACACCATTATTAACAATAACTGAATTTGCAGGCAAAGCACCCTTCTCATCAGTGAGTTCCACTCCTCACAGGGTTAGTTGCTGGAGTCAATCTGATTCTCAGCTAGGCAGGTCTGGAAACCATTTTCTCCACCATGGTCATGGCCACAATTGACTTTACTAGCCAAAGATACAAAAGACTATGTATAAACAAAAGGCCAACATATTCACAATGACTGATCAGTTCCTTCTCTTAGGAGTTCCTGTCCTTACAAGATATCGGAGAACTCACTTGTGCACTCTCTCTCCAGCTATACACATGGAGGAAAGGCCATGTAAGGACAGAGTGAGAAGATGGCCGCTGCAATCCAGGAAGAGAAGCCCCGCCAGAAAATGGATCCCCGGTAGAAAACAAGCTGAGAGATGGTGCTTCCTCCGTGATCCTGACCTCTCCCAGCAGTAGGAGCCTCTAATGATCTGGTTCCAGAGTGGTTTTCTGTTCCCTTCCCGTGGGACAGGGATCTTTTTCTTTCCCCAACCTTATCGGATCTTCGCCTATACTCTGGGGTAAAAAGCTGCTTTCCTTTCCCAGCAGCTATGAGCTTTGTTACATGGAGAAGAAGAGTCTTTGACAGAGCAGCAGGAGCTCACCTCCCCAGGCCTGCACTACCAAGAGAGGCTTGCCTCTGGTCTCCACCTGTGCCCAGCAGTCCCCGTGAGTGTGGACGAATAACCACATGAAAGCACCCGTGAGTAGATGAAAACTCCCCTTGTGTCGGCGGCAGCTTTGCTTAGATTTCAGGCCATCTGGTAACTTCAATTCTCTGATGGGTTCAAGAAAATGACCTTGTGGATTAGTAGTAAACACCCTCTTCATAGCTTTCTTCACTTTCTAGGCAGAATTCCTAGATCCAAAATAATTAGATAAAGAAACTACCTTAGTTATATCAGTTTCATCATTCTTTATGACAACTTGGGAGTTCTATGTTTGAATTGATCTCTGTTGGAATTGCTAGAAGCAATCCTGAAAAGCAAGAATACTAACAATATTGCAATATCTGGAATATACTGTGACACGGGACTTTTATGAAATTCTGACATAGATAAACTTAAGCTTACGGCTTTTCCTATAATTTCTTGATCTCTTGATTCATGCAATACTTTTCAAAGTTAAAATAGTGTTCTTTGCTTAACTATGAGTGAGGACAGATGACAAATCTGGGTATAGTCTTTTTTGAATGATATAAAAAGATTTTGACAATACCATTAATAAATTTGAAGAACTTAAGGCTCAAAAAACTTGAGGGAAGAAGGCAGAGTAGGAGGATCCTAAGCTCACCTCATCCCACAGATACACCTAGATAACACCCACATGAGTGTAAATAACCCAGAAAATGACCTGAAGACTGGCAGAACACAGTCTACACAGCTAAATGTAGATAAGAGGCCACATCAAAGAGAGTAGGGAGAGTTAAGACAGAGTCAGGAGCCACAGGCCTGTCTGTGAGAGGGAGGGACTCCACGAACATTGAGAGTGAAGAGGAACAGACCCCCCCACATCAGGCATGCCGTACCCAAGAAACCCACACCTGGAAGACGAATCCCTATAACATTTAGCTTTGAAAACCAGAGGGGCCTAACTCCGAGGTATTACAATCAGTGCGGCTTAATACCTGGAACTTTCTACCACTGGG